CAAAGCTTTTTCCTGAGAATAAGAGCATTTGCTGATAGAGAAGAAAGCCGAAGGGCGGAAAGAGGCGAGAATCACAAATAAGAAACGGATAGAGCGCATCGAAGATAATGCCTAGCCAATTTAACCTTTCTAGTAAGCTCAAGGAAAACTGTGGTACTGATCTGTAGTCTAATCCAGTAGGCATGACTCAGAATCCTTCTACAGCAAATCTACTCTTGAAGTGTAGTACTAAACCGATGTTTTATGGTCAAAATGGACATGACAGGATTTCGCTATACGTGGTTGCAAGCGAATTCGTATTTTTCCCAAAACAGGCTTCTTTGGAAGTCATACAATAGCAAACTACGGAAGATTTTTCATATTTTCTCAAGATGAACCAGCGCATTGCTGCAAAAAGGCCAAAAGTATCCTAAACTTCTTCTATAGTTAGCATAGTGAGGGATAAAATGAGCAGTTTAAGGAATATTATTGGGAAAGGATCGCCCGGGTTACATAGTGGTGAACACATGAAAAGATACGATTCAATGTCTAAGAGTTGCTAAAGGTCAATGTGTACCACTGCTCCATAATATGCTCAATAGTCATGGAATAGGTGAAACCAAAAGAAAAGGGTTTTGTGACGAAAAAAAGTTTTCATCACAAATATGATTCAATGTGAAGGGAATATAGCATGACATTGACAATAAACTAGGTATTTTGTCAGTGTAATTTGTCCTTCACTAAATTCCGTTCACCACATTCACCTATAATTCGTCTTTGACCGAGTTTACCCGACTTCACCAATCATCTAACTAATCAACGAAAGGTAAAGAAGAGAAGAATAAGTCATCAAAAATGTCAAAAGCTGAATCAGTTCTCTCAAAAGGAATTAAGAAAACAGAAGACAAAATGAAGAAGATGATCCCATGTAAAACTAAAACAAAATTCCTGAAATATTTTTACAAAAAATTCGTACCGGAGCATTGCAAATCGTACATAAATGGCTGTATTTGCATAGAGTTCCAGCCTTCTGATCTGACAATGTCGAGCGATGAACTGAGGCTGAAGCGGTACGCCTTCGTAGATTAAGGGTAGTTAACCTGCAAAATTCGAATAAAAAGAATTAATTTGAATTGCTTGTTAAAGGAATGCCTACCTTGTCGATCTCTTTGGTGGATCAGCTGACGATGGAGCACTTGTAAGACGTTTATGGTCGTCAGCTTTCTTGGTTGGCGGAAAAGCTAAGCGACGTCGTGCTGCTCGTTTTTCATTCATGTGAGTAGGCTACGTGCACTATTTAGTAGTATGAATATCTGAAATTAATGCAGATAGGATTGAACTTAGGGCAGCCACTTTAAAACTTCACTTGCACATTCGATACTATTGCAAAACGCGATAATTATTGCAGAATTCTAAGTCTGCAATCATAGGAGAAATGAGGAAAAAAAGAACTAACAAACTCGCTAAAAGTTCAACAAAAATATGTGCTTAGCAGTAAAAAAATCACTTTTCCTCTACAAAAAAAAAATAAACCTCTGATAGGTTTAGC